TCCAACCCCACACGCTACGGACCCGTCCAACCCCACACGCTACCCCATCGCCCATCCAACCCCACACGCTACGGGCCCATCGCCCATCCAACCCCACACGCTACGGACCCGTCCAACCCCACACGCTACCCCATCGCCCATCCAACCCCACACGCTACGGGCCCATCGCCCATCCAACCCCACACGCTACGGGCCCATCGCCCGTCCCCATCCATTATACCAGGGGTATGCCAGATCATGTTGCTGTCACAGGGTCCCCTCACTCAGGACTCCAGGGGACCGTAGTACCATCACTGGGGACCCCTGCACAGTATCCCCCCCCCATGCCCGGGGGCACTTCATGACTTACCTCCAGCGAGGGTGTGTTGGTGGGGGGTCCTCCATCGGGTGGGGGTGGTGGTGGAGGCTGTTGATCGGTGGTGGGGGGAGGTGGAGGCGGGTTTTCAGTGTCCGGTGGCAGTGAGGGGGATTGATACCCCGGAGGGGGCACATTATGGCTGTATGGGGGAGGGTAGGGGTAGGACTGTCTAGGAGGGTAATATGGTCTGGGGGGGACGGGTGCCCCCACAGGTAGAACACTCTCCATTTGTCTCTGGTGCATCCTCTGAAGCTGCTCCAGCTGGGCCATGTGCTGGTCGCGGAAGCTCTGGAGGCCCTGGTCCGGCGCGGGGGCCGCTGTGTAACCGGAGGGGCCGCCATACCGGGGAGTCCATCCCGAGAACATGGCGCAAGGCCGCACACACTCTGCTCGGAGATCTGACGTCACACCGCCTGCGCAGACGCAGTTCGGCTCACGTGACTAGCCAAAATGAGGCGGGATCTTCCCACCGCGCATGCGCGGCGGCCATATAGCTGCTCCACGGCCCTCCGGCCGCCATCTTGCTCCTCTCAGCTTTGTGGAGGGATGGCAGTCTCCTTTGTTTGGGGAAGAGGCGGGGGCCCATCCGGCCAGTAATGACGAGAATATTAGGAAAGAGATGATAAGGCCGAGAAATGTGACTTCCGGATCACCATTTAAAATGAATAGAAGAAAGCTCAATGGCCAATCACAATCTATATTCTACACATGACCCCAGGGTAGTGTATATGGTTGGTTACTATGCTGAGCTGCGGCCTAGTGGCGGTGGTGCTGCATTTGCCTTCCTTATCATGTTGTGCTTATCGCAGCGGATGCACTAACTTCACCTCAAGCTCTGCGCCCAGCCAATCACATCAAGGGAAATCCCAACACCGTCTGCTCGTCCAATCAGAATAAAGTCAGCTTTCCGCCCATCCGAGAAGACAGAACATCGAATGAGGCGATGATTGTACGGGACGATAATCGGACATTCGGGAACATTGGACGCGGGTGGATGGAGCTCTGTGTGCTCCGGGAAGACGGTTTTGTCTCACAGCCAATGGACATCAGATCTTCTTGTCCTGACATGTCATGATCAGCCTGGAAAAGTTCCCTCCCATATTCCAGAAGTTTCCGGCGTGGATTCGGAATCTGTGTCCGGGAAGTGAAATGTTCTGCCGGTGATATTCTATAATGGCCTTCAGATGGTGCCGAGGAACCAGAAATCCTCCCGTCCTATGCGGCCTCGCCGCCATCTTGTGGCCGTAATAGAACCGGAAGGTACATGTGACCACAGTCCAATTATCTCAGGTCACCCCCACCCTTCATCTGCACCTCAAATAACCCCAAAGACAGATCTGTGTATTTCAACCTACACATTAAAATCTGGGGAAAGGGTAGAACGCATAACTCCCATCCTCCACCACTCATTCTTCACCCTCCATCACCTATCCTCCATCCCCCATTCTCCACCCTCCATCACCCATTCATTCTCCACCCTCCATCTCCCCTCTATCACCCATCTCCCCATTCTCCACCCTCCATCCAACACCCATTCTCCATCCTCCACCTTCCATCACCCATCCATTCTCCACCCTCCATTCAACACCCATTCTCCATCACCCATTCTCCATCACCCATCTCCCCATTCCCCACCCATCCTCCACCATCTCCCCATTCTCCACCCTCCATCACCTATCCTCCATCCAACAACCCCCATAACCCATTCTCCAATATTCATTCCCCACCCCCCATTCTTCATCCCCACCTCCCATTCCCCCCTCCTATAATCTTTAGCCCTAGCCACACATGGAGCATCGGCACCTTTGGTTGGTTTTGGTGCTTTATTTGATATACATGTTTTTCATGGACTTTCCGGGTTGTTTTAGCGGATGGAAATCTACCTCCCAGCGGAGACGGTAATCAGGTGCAAATACAATAAAAAAAACATTTTAAAAAGTGTCATGTGCGTTTCTCACAACAAAGTCCAAATCCCATTCGCACTGCCACGGTCTCAAAACCACAAGGTATATGTGGTGCCCAGGTGATCACACGGATGGCGCCGTGTAATGTGCATTTCTCCGGCGCTGCTGTTGGGGTTACAAGCGTGATCGTGACCCAAAGAATGACGGCTGACGACGCCAGATAGCGAGGTTCCTCCCAGGCCACGATTACTGGTTCCACCTCGATGGCTGATCTGCATCACGGCAGTGTTGAACCGGAAGCGCGTTGGCAAACCCTGACGGGGACACGACGAATCGCCCAACAGTCCCGTGTCTGTCATGAGTCCTGAATGAGTGTCCCACACAGGTAGAACGCTCAGCTGAAATGGAGTGGAGCCGAGCGTACGCCACAATCACCCCCAGGACCCTCATGTAGTATCCGATGGAGGGCTAACCAGTGGCTGAGGGGATCCGCACCCGGGAACAAAGAGACAAAACCTTTGCCTATGGAAGAAAGACCGGGCCTGGGCGCTATCCAGGAGAAGACCCAGGTACCCCATGTGGTGAGTCAGACCCAAAGCGCTGTAGCATCCAGAACATTCCGTGGACGTTGGCGGACAGTGTGTGAGCGGACCGGGCTTTCATCAGAAGGTTGTCCAACTACCCTAAAACGTGGCCACCATGAGACTGCGACGGTGCAAGGACGGTGGCTGGGACCTTTGTAAAGACAAAGTGCCAACATTTGGAAATGATGCGTTCCCAAGGCAAATCCAATCCCGGATAGGGATGCACCGATGCCGAGTACTCACCCAAATGCTCCCAATGCCTATCCTGTTACTCAAGCCATGGAAAGCATGGAGCTGGTTTTTCGGTATCGAGTACCGATAAATGTTTTCACTACTCGCCAATTCCGATACCGGAAGTCCCATTAAGCAATGCGGGTGGCGGGTCATTACACGCCGCCCGGCTTCCCAAATTAGCCCGGAAGCCGTCTCCATGTTCCCTTATCACTAGGTGACGAGGAAGCAAAGAGCTGGCTTCCTGGCCAATCAGGAGGCCAGGGACGGGTAGTGATATGCTGCCTGGCTTCCTGACCAGTCAGGTGGCGGGTCATCACATGGCAACTGGCTTCCTGATTGGCTGGGAAACTGGCCCCATGCTCCACCGTCACCAGGTGACAAGGGACCATGGGGCCGGCTTTCTGGCCAATCAGGAGGCCAGGTAATGACTCACCCTCCCGGCTTGCCGATTGGCCAGAAAGCCGGCCCCATGGTCCCTTGTCACCTGGTGACGGTGGAGCATGGGGCCAGTTTCCCAGCCAATCAGGAAGCCAGTTGCCATGTGATGACCCGCCACCTGACTGGTCAGGAAGCCAGGCAGCATATCACTACCCGTCCCTGGCCTCCTGATTGGCCAGAAAGCCAGCTCTTTGCTTCTTCGTCACCTAATGACAAGGGAACATGGAGACGGCTTCCCGGCTAATTGGGAAGCCAGGCGGCGAGTCATTACACGCCGCCCGGCTTTTGGGACTTCCGGTATTGGCGAGTAGTGAAAACATTTAGCGTTACCGAGAAACCCGCATCGGTGCATCCCTAGTACTGGGGGAAGACGGGAACGTGTAGGTCGGCATGCTTGGTGTCCCCCTGTCGAGGGGAGGAAATGACCCACGGGGACGATTTTATGCAGCACTTGTGGTTCTGAAGGAATTCGCTGAGAGATTTCAGGTCCAGGACGGGATGAACTCCTCTGATGGGTGTTAGAACCCTGAAACCTCTCGTCCTGAGAAACGGGAACAATGCCCCCCCTCCTCCCCCGCCCAGGTAGTTTGGTCTGAAGAATAATCCGCACGCTCGTTCCAGGCCGATGACTCCGAATGCTGAAATCGGAGCGAGTCTGGCAGCAGCCCCATTACCCCCTGTACTGTTCCTTTAAGACCCCATTCACACTGAGCGACATGCAAATCGCGCGACATTGAGCGGCGAGCGACGTGTCGCGCGACATCTTCCTATTGGGCTGTATGCAATCAGGAGCAATATCGCTCAAAAGCGCTCTAAAAAAGGGTCATGTAGAAGCGACGAGCTACCAGCGACGAGCTACAAGCGATATTGAGCGACATTGAGCGACGAGATGTGAACAGCTACATTGAAATGTATTGGTGAAGCTACATAGAGCGATATAGTGCGGAAATATGAGCGATATCGCTACAAAAATCGCTCAATGTGAACGGGGCCTAAGTCGGTTCTCTCTGTGGTACGCAACAGGAACCTCAGCACTCTGACGCAGTGGGCGTGGCTCTGGAGGGCGGGTCCCAATTCCCACCAGGAAGACAACAGGAGGAAACAAACCAGTGGGTGGAAATAGATTTATTGCGACATATATAAAATCTGTGGACAGACCGATGAGCAGGAGAGCCAGCCCACCATACAACCTATGGACACCCAACGTGGGGGATGGGCTCACCTTCTAATGACACCCAATAGGCTCCTCCCACTATCATTCTATTTTCTCTGGTCCCCCCAATCGACCTGTGTACAGGCTACTGAAGAAACATCATGTGATCCCAACTGACCAACCACAACCAGTCCAATATGAATGCGGCAATCCTAAAAGCGCGGCGCTCCGTAGTCATCGGGCATCCTCTCGATATTATACCTGAAGAACAAAAATAAGAAAGAAAAAAAAAAAAAGGTAAACCACCATTAACAGGAAGAGCCGCAGATATGGGGGAGGGGTCACCCAGAATGCATCTGACCTGTGATTGGAAATGTACATGATGGGAACCCCGGGAATCTTCCTGATCCTCCTCTTCAGGTCTCGATCTACTGTGGCCACCATGTAACATTTATGCTGCAGAGACAAGGGAAACCTTACAACAGAGAGCCAAACCCTACACGTGTGACGCACACACTCTCCCCCCCCTACACGTGTGACGCACACACTCTCCCCCCCCTACACG